ACGTTTTGATTTGATTTTCTAATCAACGTTTTGATTTGATTTTCTTAATCAAACGTTTAGATTTGATTTTCTTAATCAAACGTTTAGATATGACCGTCTTAATCAAACGTTTTGATTTGATTTTCTTAATCAAACGTTTAGATTTGATTTTCTTAATCAAACGTTTTGATTTGATTTTCTTAATCAAACGTTTAGATTTGATTTTATTAATCAAACGTTTGGGTATGACCTTCCTAATCAAACGTTTAGATATGACCTTCTTAATCAAACGTTTAGATATGATCATCTTAATAAAACCTTTAGATTTGACCGTCTAAATCAGATTTGACATTTCTGATCAAACGCTTAGATATGACCTTCTTAATCAAACGTTTAGATATGACCTTCTTAATCAAACGTTTAGATATGACCGTCTTAATCAGATTTGGCCTTCTGAATCAAACGTTTAGATATGACCGTCTTAATCAAACGTTTAGATTTGACCGTCTTAATCAAACGTTTAGATATGACCTTCTTAATCAAACGTTTAGATTTGACCTTCTTAATCAAACGTTTAGATTGGACCTTCTTAATCAAACGTTTAGATTTGGCCGTCTTAATCAGATTTGACCGTCTTAATCAAACATTTAGATATGACCTTCATAATCAAACGTTTAGATATGACCGTCTTAATCAGATTTGGTCTTCTGAATCAAACGTTTAGATATGACCTTTTTAATCAAACGTTTAGATATGACCGTCTTAATCAGATTTGGCCTTCTGAATCAAACGTTTAGATATGACCGTCTTAATCAAACGTTTAGATTTGACCGTCTTAATCAAACGTTTAGATTTGATCTTCTTAATCAAACGTTTAGATTTGGTTTTCTTAATCAAACGTTTAGATTTGATTTTCTTAATCAAACGTTTAGATTTGACCGTCTTAATCAGATTTGACCGTCTTAATCAAACGTTTAGATAATATGATCTTCCTAATCAAACGTTTAGATTTGATTTTCTTAATCAAACGTTTTGATTTGATTTTCTTAATCAAACGTTTAGATTTGATTTTCTTAATCAAACGTTTAGATTGGACCTTCTTAATCAAACGTTTAGATTTGGCCGTCTTAATCAGATTTGACCGTCCTGATTAAACATTTAGATATGACCTTCATAATCAAACGTTTAGATATGACCGTCTTAATCAGATTTGGTCTTCTGAATCAAACGTTTAGATATGACCTTCTGAATCAAACGTTTAGATATGACCTTCTGAATCAAACGTTTAGATATGACCTTCTTAATCAAACGTTTAGATATGACCGTCTTAATCAGATTTGGCCTTCTGAATCAAACGTTTAGATATGACCGTCTTAATCAAACGTTTAGATTTGACCGTCTTAATCAAACGTTTAGATTTGATCTTCTTAATCAAACGTTTAGATTTGGTTTTCTTAATCAAACGTTTAGATTTGATTTTCTTAATCAAACGTT